CATCTCTTTGCTTTATTACTATTATTATTTATTATTTGATCTTCCTGGTAGCTTGGCATCTCTGCTATATTATTTATTATCACTATTTGATCTTCCCAGTACTCTGGTATCTCTGTGCTGTACGTTATTATTGTTATTACTACTATTTCTTTTATTCATTAAACATGAAACTCAGTCAACTGAACATTTAAAAATGTTTCACAAATACCACTGACTGGCGCTGATGGTTGATGCCGGCATCCTAGGTATATCAACCAAGTATCTTATCATCATCATCAGGTCTTCCTGGTACTTTGGCACCTCTCTCTTGTATTATTATTTTATCATCATTGTTATATTACACTTCATCCTGCCTTCTATAGATCATCATCATATTACATTTCATCCTGCCTTTTATAGAGATAAATATATGTGCATGTCTGTGTATGTACACCTTTATATGCACATGTAAATGTATGCCTGTGTGTATGTATGTAAATGTGTATGTGTGTGCAGGGAGTCTTCGACTTATGACCATAGCTGAGCCCAGAATTTCTGTGGTGAAGGGGAACATTTGTTAAGTGAGTTTTGCGCCCATTTTTATGACCTTTCTCGCCACAGTTGTTAAGTGAATTGTTGCGGTTGTTAAGTTAGTAACGTTGTTGTTAGTTGAATCTGGCTTCCCCCATTGATTTTGCTTGTCAGAAGGTTGCAGAAGTGGATCACGTGACCCTGGAAACCTGCAACCGTCATAAATATGAGTCGGTTTCCAAACAGCTGAATTTTGATCACGTGACCACAGGGATGCTGCAGCGGTTGAAAGCTTGAAAATTGGCCATCAGTCACTTTTTTCAGGACCGTTGTAACTTTGAACAGTCACTAAATGAGATGTTGTAAGTCGAGGACTACCTACATGTATGTGGGTGGATGGATGGATTAATGGACAGACGGACAGACACGCATACAAATGCAGATATATAAGCCAGGGCAATGCATGCATCTAACTGACCTGCTTCCTATTTTCCCCACAACAACAACAACAACCCTGTGAGGTGGATTACACTGAGGGAGAAGGGCTGGTCTTAAATCACCCAGCCAACTTTCATGGCTAAAGGAGACCTAAAACTACTCACAGTCTCCTGGTTTCTAGGCCAGGATTTCAACCAGGTAGAGAAAAGATTGGGACTCTTTTATCCTTTGAAACCCAGGTCTCTGTAGCCTGGCCGTTCTTCCTTTTGTTCTGTTCTCTCTGAGTTGCCTTTGTAGGATCTGTTGCCCCTGCAGCAAATATCCCCAGGATATTTGAAAGGTACCGTCTTAAGAAATCAAATGGGTGCACACAAAGGGTTAATCGATACTCCTGTTTTTTAAGTGTAACAGTAAAAAGCAGGTGGAGGTTCCACTTCATGATTGTGTCTGCCATCTTGAGTTTTTTAACTGCATCCCGCAGGCATCCCTGATCTGCAGTTCTCTCATCTCCCAAACCTTCCCTAAGTGGCTTTTGTCACACGGACCAATTTCTGACAACTCTCGGAGATTGTGGTTGCCCCATCACGGGAGGCTTTTAAGAAGAGATTGGACAGCCATTTGTCTGAAATGGTGTAGGGTCTCCTGCTCCAGCAAGGGGGCAGGACTAGAAGACCTCCAAGGTCCCTTCCAAGTCTGTTACTCTATGTTGTTATTCTGTGTTCAGTGTTCCTCAACGTCAGTACTTTTAAGAAGTGTGGACTTCAAGTCCTGTGCTCTTCAGATTTGGCTACCTTCTTCTCTGGTTCTCTCTGTTGGCTTTTGAGTGTCGTTTTTTTTTTCCTTTTGCCCAGTAGGCATCTTCTCTTGGTGTGTGCGTTTTTGTGTGTGCCTCGCAGAAAAAAGGAGGCATCTTCAATTTCAGTTGCTCCTTGTCTGATTCCAAATTTGGGTTACTTTTATCTCTGGTTGTCCTGTTCTAGCAAATCCATAGATAGACCTAGGTGTTTTCATGCTTCCTGAACTTTTCCATTCACTGCCTTCCTCTACCAAGGACTTGTTTAAAAAGGATGGAGGCTAAAAAGTTTTTGGTGACATGGTTGGTTGATTTATTTATTTATATATCGAATTTATACGTTGCTCATCTCCACATCAAGCAACTCTGGGAGGTTTCCATGTTGTTTCTCAAAGTTGCTTGAAACTAGACATGGTGTAGCACAGACCTGGGTATTTTATAGCTCCCCCCCCCCCGCCCCCCATTGTTGTGACTGAATCAAATGTAAATCTTGAAGACTGCCTACACACCTTCACAAGCCTATTGGTTTGGCTCTCCACAATAGTCTTTGTTTGTCCCCTTGGGAAAATTAATTGCCCACCCTTGGTCTAGCAGCGTTCATGGCTCCATTTTTTTGGCCAGCCACCAACAATTGTGTAGTAGTTCAGTACTGGGTTATGGTCAAATCTGACACACTGGTGAAGGTGTTGGATGTGCCTTGGAGAGATCAAAATTCTTCTCCATTATCTCCCACCGAAGCTTTTTGGGTGACCAAAAACCAGCCATTTTTCTGAACCCAGACTATGTTATTGAAAGAAATGGGAGGCTGGCTCATTGTGTACAATGCCTTGAACTACTGAGCAAGAGGTTGGATAAAAATCCAACAGGTAAACAAACAAACAAAATAGGTAGGGTGACCACAAAGGCATTTCACCTGTTCTTAACCAAGAAGCCATATCTTGGGAGACAATTATAACTTAATCCTTCTGATTAATGTACATAGATGGAGGGAAATTGGTACATTTGAAAGACAGCAAAAGTTGATGGAGATTTTTGTAGAAGGGAAAGAGTACACAATAATCCACTCACTTCTCTTTAGTTCACAGGCTGTATGTATATTATGTATGTATTTTTGTTTGTTTATTATGTCATCCATCTCTCAATAGGGTGACTTTTTAATTTAAGTGTGTGAATATTTGTGGTTGAACAGCTATCTATTTTATTTTATTTACTTATTTATTACATATGTATTTATTTATTTTGTATGTCATCCATCTCTCAATAGGACAACTTTTTTTACCTTTAACTGCATGAATATTTGTGGTGGAACAGATATTCTATCTATCTTATCTATCTATCATCTGTCTGTCTCTATCTCGGTCTGTCATCTGTCTCTCAATATGGCAACTTTTTTACCTTTAAGTGCATGAATATTTGTGGTCAAACAGCTCTCGCTCTCTCTTTACTGCTTATTTCCTAAACATGTCCAAATGATTCATTTTGAGGTTGTTTAAAAATGGTGTGGATAGGCAGGAGAAAATATCTGTTGTTTTCTGCACTTTTTAGAGATTTGTTTCTGTTCCTGCCTATGTTTCCTGCCGTCCTACAGACATAGCCGCATGCATGGCACGTTAACCATCCAAGCCTCTCCATAAACTTCCTTTTCTTGTAGAATATCAGTTCAGATATACAGAACACTCAAAAGATGCCGATAAACCTGCTATTCTCAGAGTAGTTAAGGATGGTTGTTAATGGGTTTTTGCTAAGGGCAAAGAAAGGTTTGTGTTATTTTAAAATCAGTCTGGAAGAGCGGAGTCAATCTTGGAGTAACTTGGAGAACATTTCAGGGAGTCTCCCATCTCTGGTCTTCCATCTTCCGTCAGTAATCATCGAAACCACTTCCGCCCCTTCCCAAATCCTAAAGTTTTTATCGAGGGGGATTTTTGTGTGCTGTCCTTTTAAAAGATTGAAAATTCACAGCGCCCGGTTTCTTTGTTGCTTTTGTCCTTTTCAAATAGGCCATCAAAACAATTCAAATCTTAAAAGTAGCTTTTAATTGCTTGGCTATGGAGCCTGACACCCAACGGTAATTTCCAATAAAATTATAAATACCATCAATATCATTGATTCTATATTCTTTGTTACAGCCTTAACGTTCTTTGCAAAAGGGGAAGATAAGTTTAGATTGTTTAAATATAACTAGATATGCTTTTGATACATACTTGTTAAGTCTCGGAATACAGAAAAGTCTTAAGCATTGAAGGTATTGTATCTACTATTTGTATCCCATACACTTCTGAAATTGATAGGTTTTTGTGCAGTTCCGTTTTTCATTTACTATGATAATTATGGGGTTTTTTTTACTTTGTTGCCGGCATATACATCTTGATGCATATACAGGTAGTCGCCGACTTACGACCACAATTGAGCCCACAATTTCTGTCGTTAAGTGAGGTGTTTGTTAAGCTAGTTTTGCCCCATTTTACAACCTTTCTTGCCACAGTTGTTGAGTGAATCACTGCCGTTGTTAAGACAGTCACATGGTCGTTAAGTGAATCTGGTTTCCCCATTGACTTTTCTTGTCAGAAGGTCCCAAAAGGGGATCACGTGACCCCAGGATGCTGCACCAGTCATAAATATGAGTCAGGTGCCAAGCATCTGAATTTTGAT